CAATTAATTATTAGAATATTCTTTGTACAATAATGTGATAAACGCTGTTATGGATTTACGTTGTCTAATTAGGACGAAATCACCACAGACATAACAAAACTTTTGCGGGTCATTCAAGACTGTCGTGAAGACATTATTTATGAAAGTTAAAGTTTTTAACTTAAAATAATATCTAAAAAGCTGTTTAATACGAAGTTCTAAGAAAATGTCTTGATTACTTTAATGTTATCTGAAGATTTTCAGTTTTTTGTATTGATAGGAACAAAGTTAGTATTTTCAGTTTTCAAACTAACTTAATATAAATGATGAAGGTCTACCTTTCACAAAGATACATATATTTGATATAACGAAAAATACAAGGATAAAGATTTCCAATTTTATTGAAAATAAAATTCTAATTGAACAATAGCAACTTTACTACTTTATGAAGTCAACATTAATTAAAAGTAAAAATAAGTAAATAAAATTAAATAAGAAAGAAAAATAAAAAAAAAAAAATATAATTAAGTAAGAAAAAGAAATACAAAATAAATAAATAAACGCTTAAAATCTACCGTAAAACAAAAATAACTGACTTTATCTTTGCAAGAAGTTCTCAATATTTAGAATACTTACCGTTACCACGCCGCTTAAACACGATCTCTAACACGGATAGTAATATTTAGCTTGATAGCTAATATTAAGTCAGAACTATATCGTTTGACTGCATCCCTTGAGCTCTCCAGTGAAGTAGAGCAAACTCTGCTATTCCATTAGACGAAGATGGTAGCCACCTAGTGAATGAAAGGTGAACTTGATAGAATAGCGTTTGCCTCGAAATTACCGGGATCGTGGGAAAGGAAATTGGATTGTAGGAGTCTCTCGCACTATTTTAGATTAAAGTGTTTATCGTTGAACCGACGTCTGCTCAAATGCCTACAGAATCGGTGGTTATAGGTTAAGTATTTAATGGTCCAGTAATGCTTTATCCTATAAAAAATACTATTTCAATCATTCACACTAGCTTTATATCTGTTGAAAAAACGTCTCATTGTGATCCGTAATAGGGCTTTTTTCGAATATTTAAGGTTATCAGGATATTCTAAAGTTATGGTGCAGTTTCGATAATGATTATCGATTTGGTCATCCAAATGATAATAAAGTGTAATGTATACATCGATTTTTTAAATGACTCACTCTATTTTCAGGCTTTATCGAAAATGTTATAACAATAAACTTTAAATAACGATATCTTGGACAGAAAAAAAGATATTAGAAACTTAAAAAAATAGTTTTAGAGGGTAAGAGTGTTTCTTTAAGATAGAGTATTCAGTTTTCCAAGAAAAATTATTCAAGATGTTATTGTACCTCAAAAACAGCCAAAAACAGTATTTTTTGCACTTTTAGGTTAGGGTATTTAAAAAACTTGATGTAATAGAGGAATTCTAAGGTCAGATTTGAATTCAGCGACCCAAAATCTATCGGAAATAACTAGTCTTATTTAACGAGCAAGTTTCACGTCAAGCTGTATAATAACTAATTCAGTTATCTTGGAGTTTCTTAATGTTACTGTTAGTGAAAACCCAGTACAACTAAACTTAATGATTCAGACAGTATAGTTGAATTGACGGAATAGCGATGGCATAACTTTTTACAGGCAGCGCACTGGACAAATTTATCTTTCCTACAATTTATGATCATATTACAGAAAAAAGAGCAGAGCATCACCATTAAAGGTATTCAGATTAATTCAAAAGTATATATAACCCGGGCATAGAAAACTTATAAATTATTAATAAAATAATGCTATCAACTAAACCATTTTAACAGAAGCACTGAAAATAAAATTTATACCACACTAGCGTAAATGGATATAACCAGTATCAAAAAACATAACACAGCTGCAATAACATTTTAAAAAGCGCGCTCAGGATGGTGAGATAGAGCTAGGTGTTCGCTTCTACATTCGTATCGATGCTGAATTTCGGCTAAATAGCACAACTTTCAGTGATTAACGCAAAATTATGGAACTCGGTCGATAACAAGTCAATATTTACGTTTAAACAATTTAATAAATACTCAACACTAAAAGCGCCTAAAACACGCAGATAAACGATGAAATAAAAATAAACCTGAACAACAATCACATAAGATCTATATGTATCATAAGACAGTTAAATGCAATTGTTCCGTCATCACTGGTATAGATGTATGCGCGAGTGTGCGTGCGACTATAGTAACCAAGCTCGACGAGAACAGCGAGAGGTGGCGCCCTTTTCTTGGGGTAAGCTTCGGGCTTCTTGACAAATCAGAGTAGATAGATGGTCGGACACGCCGGCAATTAAAATCGAATAAGTAATGCGCTCGGTACATTTATATTGTTCGCGAATTCTTTAATTTTGCCGTTTTCAAAAATATTGTTATGAATACTTGGACGAAGAAAAAGACGCAAACCAATGTATTGCGCAGAAAACGACGTACCCATCTATAAAATACAAAATCTATCAACCTAACTAAAAATAACGAATCGCCTCCGGGCATCTCAACGCGTGGTCGCCATCGATCACACGACAACTCGAACTATTGCTAGTGATCTCCAACCTAATCAGTGCCTGCTTAGCAGCAGTTGCCTCCTATTGCACTAACTACGTGTGTGTTGGAGTGAGTGGGCGAGAAATTCCTCCGCGTTCATGCGTGCATGTATTTCGTGCGGTCTTGTGACCATTTAAGTTTTAATTGCGCCTCATGTATATTCGATTAAACGTTACATCGAATTAGTGCGCATCACTTTTCATGTGTCGTCACCAATTGCGTAATCATATTATTTTAATTGAGTTCTCATTTACTTCGTTTGCTTTTAATTTAATAAAATGGATTTTTTATGCTTTAGAAGGCTTTTTCCCATACAAGTACTTATTTTTTATTTCACGATATAAAAAAGGGAGATAAAATTAGTGTTCTTTCTCATCGATAATCCAGACAAAAATAATTGCTAATTTGCCATCTGCGGCATTTTAGATTTTATATCAAAATAAAACAGCAATAATAAATTCAGTTAACTACACTCCATAATTTAACAACGAATCATTATACGCGTTATAGATTACCAACCTAATATAGTGACTAAGATAGTAGAGATAACAAAGCAATGAAAATGACGAAGTCAAAGATGCAAAAAAGGCCCTCCACAGCTCCCAAAGATGAGCCTAATTTACAAAAAGTTCTACGATGTCCGAAACGATTCACTGCATCACTAATAATTTTGACAGGTTAAACATTGACGAACAATGGAAGTATCAATCCAGTGGAAATAAAAGTCTCTTCAAACCAATAATATTGATAAAAAACCTGTAAAAATCAGAGATTTTAATGAAGGGTCGAGATGATCTTCGAACTGCAATAATTCACTCGACACAGAGTGAAAAAATAATAGAATCCAAATACGATATCATAAGAGTGAACAGATTGATGTGTTCCTTAGATAATTACCAGGAAGTGAGAAAAAGAGAGAGAGAGAATTCTAAAGCAGCGAGATAAAAACGGACATTCCAGAGCATACTAACTGTGTACGAGCGAGGATGTCGACAGTTGAGCCGTGTGCTTTTTTCGTCTTTGTTCGTGCTACGCTACTGAGTTTTACAAAACTACACGGCGCGGCCTTTAACAACATCAGTGCGACTACGGATGTTAGTTCAAAGGCAAGTGCGACTGTCGATATTTTGTTAAAACGTAAGGGTAAGGAAGGGATAGTCCTCTTTTGTGCATGCGTACCATAACCTGTAATTCAGCAACGAGTTCAAGATTTCCAACTTGTAAGTACCGACGCTATACCGACTTTCACTCTACTTTCTCTCTTGCACGATTACTAATTTCCATGTACGAGTTCTCTTCTTATGCATTAAATAGCTTTTACGCTATTAGATCCTATTTATTTACCCGACTTATTTGTTCGTGACCGGTGAGTTCAGAGAGGTATCCTTTCGCCAACAGTGTTACGTTATCGGGATCGACACCGAATAGTGTGCGCTACTACCTACAATAGACCTATCTCCGACTTCATTAAATTTACGTGATACACTTTCTCCTTAATTTTCGAGAAGGTAGTTACCCTTTTTTACATTAACAGATTATAACTACTTCAGCCCGAAATTTTGAATAATAATAATATAAAATTATGAAAAAAACTTGATTTTTTTATACACATATAAATATTGTTTGAATATTTTACAATATTGTTCATTCCGATACGATTTTTTAATGAGTTATGACATTTTAAAGCAGTAAAAGAAATAAGTTTTAAAAAATTGGTAGCTATAAAGAAGTTTTTTCTACAAAACAGCCAGGAACATGCTTCTTTCAAAAGAAAAGAACAAGTAATAAAATGTACTTATTTTCTTCCATATCAAAACTATTACTTTTCAATGACTGACAAATGATTGTTTTTCAAATGACTTTTTAAAAATTATCAATACATTTTCCATTTGAATTTGGAGCACGAATTACTGTCATACAATAACATCTTTATCCTAAAGTTTTATCTACACATGTATATTATATTGTATTTTGTTATAAACAACCATAGAATTATCTATTATTACTTCAAAGTTTCGTTGAAGTAAGTAGATCAAGGTGATGGGCAGATGAAATTTCATTTTGATCTTTACATTTAATAGTCTTCAGAATATAAGTAAAAAATTTGGAAAAAATCGTGAAATAGATAATTCTTTCAATACACTTCAAAATATATTCCCATTATGAACGACGTAATTTAGAAGCAAATATAAGGTATATTTTATTCATCATTCAATTTTGCCATGCACTACATAATGATATATCTGCATCATGCATCATGTTGTAGATGTATCATTTTATTTCATCAAAATTCATATAAATAAATGAAATCACAAATAAATAAGTGTCTATGCGCACGTGCGTGAAATAAATAAAAATGAAATTAGATTAAAATCTGACAAAAAAATTTTCTTCCTGATTTATTAAATATTGAAAAATTTCTTTTCCAGGTTGTTAAACGAATAAAAGAAGGCTGCAGATTAGATCGACCAGAGCATTGTAAACGAGAACTTTATAACATTATGTATTATTGCTGGGATAAAGAACCTTCCCATAGACCATCATTTTCAGAACTTGTAAAATTATTAGAAGGGCTTTTACTTAATGAAATCGATTATATTGAACTTGATCGGTTTCCTGATCACTCTTACTACAACGTAATCAATCTTAGTGGTGAAAAATTATAATTAATAGAAATAAACAGTAATTACCAGCATCAGAAATATTAAATAAATGATTCACCCGCGGCTGTTATATACTTCGTAGCGAGACTCACCATAATCAACGCAACCGTTTGATATTATCAAGCAATTAGCATGTAGGAATAATGACGATTAATCGAAAACATAACGATTAGGATTATAAAAATATATCATATAGATTATAAAATTCAGATACAAAATATTACGAGTACAATAGCCAAAAGACCTATGAATACATATTAAATACGCGCGCGAAAGAGAAAGTATGGATGCCGTAAACCAACATCGTGTATTGTATTGTATTGCAGCTCATCTTTTGGTAATAATTCCAACGACACTTTTGCCATCGCATGACTGCAATCCTTTTCGAGGTTACACATTCTTCATTGGATGTAACGACGACACTGTCAGAATTTTTACTAGGAGCTGCTTTGTTCTCACTCACTATCTTGTTTCTCTTTCTTATAACAGGTGTGGTGCATGCTACTGTTACGTCTGAAATTTATCAATATTTAATTAAATTTACTTGGAAAATTCGCCTAGAATAAGCAAAAATTATCGAAAGAGAAAAAAAGAAATAAATGGAGAACCTGTTGTAGCGGGTACCCTTCGCTACCTTACGAATTGTTGTTTCCTTTTGATTTGTTGATCTGCAGTCCGTTGCTAGCCAAGGAAATGATTGTGCCTAAAGCACCGCTCACGGCCAGTTACACTCCACAAGACGAAAGGGAATATCGGAAGTTTTCGATTAAGTTGAAATTACGAATTTTCAGAAGTATCGACACCTTTATTAAATTAATACTTATACTTGACGTTTACAAGAAGATTTAATGTTTCGGTTTAAAATGTACTTTTCTAATTTTAAAGATTCGACACCTTTATTAAATTAATACTTATACTTTGACGTTTACAAGAAGATTCAATGTTGCGGTTTTAAATGTACTTTTCTAATTTTAAAGATTCGACACCTTTTACTTAGACTTTACACGCACGTCTTTACTGCTTCACTGCCGGTTACCGAATGTCGCGAGTCCTCCTGCAATTGAGGAAAAAGCCTCGCGATGACCCACCCATTGACGTATTCACCAATGTCACCGGCCAATGGGCTAATTACTTAATCAGCTTCGCGAGTCGGTGCATATTCCATTCAGCAAATCTCACGAAAGCGTGAAAGAAGAGAACTGTCTCTCCCGCCTTCGCGACGTGCTTTTGTCAAAGCGCAATTAGACGGAAAGCTATACGCGATTTCCATTCTCCGCAGGAAACGGCATCGGCTTACATATACATTCCATTTAGAGGTCGATTCATACCGAAGTTGCTGATCGCGAGGAACCGCGCAGATAGCCGTTTGCGTGAGAAAAAGTAAATGTCACTCGCAAACTGCTACTTCGGCAACATATCAGTGTCTGATGATTGGCTTGCTTGGAACGTAACACTACCTACGCTGCAAATTTACGTACATACAATAGAGATACACGTGTGAAAAATAGTACACCATAAACTGGCGGATATTTATTATGCCGTTACAGTATGAATATTGCGTGTATGAAAATTAAAGTCACATAATTGTAATATACCATATTTTCTAATTTGTAATACAGGCTTATAATTAAAATAGAAACTTTGTAAATTTAAATGAAAAATAATGTTCTTATATATCAATATATTTTATAATAAAATATTTAATCAATAAAACTGTCAGCTCACTATGCTTTGCAATTCTCATTTTTTTTTAAATCTCGATCTTGAGCGATGCTATTGTGTGCGGCTTTTTCCCTCACGTAAGATTTTTTATGCCTCTTTTAGTGTAAGTATTTTTGTTATACTAAATAAAAGTTTATCATAAGACTATAAATAAACCACACCTCTTTCTTGTTCAACCTCACCCCTTTAACAATATGTCAAATCTGTGTGGGTGTATGTATCTATGTGTATGTGTATATATATATATATATATATATATATATATAATATATACATTAAATATACAGTAACAAATTATAACAAGTAATAAAATAACAAATTAGATATGTTGACTTTTATAGTTTGCAACAGTAATTGATTGTAAATATCGATTCGTTTGGGATTCGGCAGCACTCGAAGTGTGAAAGCGATCAATTTGGAGAGAAAGGGGGCGTGCAGGAAATAGAGTAGTATCGATACAGCCGTCAAGAGATAGGTACTTTAAAAAAAGTAGTGTGAACTTGAGACAGAAAAAATCACGAGATTATTTCGAGCGAGCTAAGGTCAGGGAAGCAGCAGTGACGAAACGAAGTGATTCACCGACAGCTATCTGAGTACGATAGTAAAAGCGGTGCCAACACCCGCACAAGTGAAAAGAACCCGGATAACGCAAATAAACGCACGGTTACGGCTGATCACCGTAACCGCAACTAACAGTAAGTGCACCTATCATAACCGCGATATATTAATTAGATAGTGCCGTGTAAAAGTTAGTACGTAAGCGTACAACCCTTTGATTAGCCACGCCGATCGTTAGTTCGCATAAAAGGTTATATTCTCTCTCTCTCTCTCTCTCTCTCTCTCTCTCTTCCCGGATTTTATGTTAAACCTGTACGCGTGTGAAAGCCTTTCAGCCCGTATTAAGGTTGTATAGCTTAGATAATTAAATGGTTTTAGGATAATTCACCGCTTTATGATCTTTCGCTCCATAGTCAACGTTATTGGGTTATTAGGTTATTGTATCGTATCTCATTCTAGTATTTGAACTAATTTTGTCTAAGGAGAGTGGGAAAGTAAACATCAGCCTCTTCACACGAAACGAACGACAAGAGTCATAATCACGTGACTTAAGGAGAGTTCAATCTAGAGAATTACTTCAAGTTGGAGCAGCGTGTCAATCATGGTGAAAACACGTATACTCATACGTTGTAATGCGATACATTACAAGGCCTTTCCTGAGCGTTGCATTATTTGCAACACCTCAGGAAAGCCATTCCCGTCCCTTGCCGTCCCGTAACCAGTTGCATAAAATGTAAACAAACAATTAACCCTTTTCATGCCCGAATACCACAACCGGAGATATTGACGAAATAAGCTCGACAAACGCAATCCGACGGACACTCATAAGAAAAAAAAAAGGAGCGCACCACGAAATAAGAGAGCGCACGCACACTCACTCACGACCACGTATTGCCGACCGGCGAAAGAAAAACGGAAATGCAACGGAAATGCATGTTGACACATGCAGATCCGTTACACTCCCAGGCACCAACACCAAAACTATCAGAGCACTGACACCCCTGGGGCGAACAGAAAATCGCCGATGAAGTGGCAGCCGGCAATCAGCTGTGTCGGGCTGCCAAACACCATCGGCGACATCCTGAGCTCCGCACACACTCACAACGGTGAACACCCATAAATACCCGGGAACACGTCACTTGACCGATACGGGAGCGCCCAACGACCGTTACGAGAACACGAGGTGTACATGCGAGAGACCGAGCGGCCATTTTGAAGCGCCGAGATGAACTGAGCATGAGCGAGCGAGACCTACTGAGAGCGAGCGAGACAGACTGAGAGTGAGCAAGTGAGACAGAGCGAGCGAGATAGACTAAATAAGAGCGAGCGAGACAGAGCAAGTGAAATAGACTAAACAAGAGCGAGCGAGACAGATTATATGAAATGATGAATTCTATTCAGAATTATATGTAAATGCGAAGATGGGGGCGCTGCAATTGAGACGACGTACATTATATATTTATTCACAACGAACTAAAATTAAAATTATAATTAGAAAATGAACATGAAAGAAATACCGAATTATAAAAATTCGCATGCGACCGACACACCCCCTATTATAATAGCGAACGACAAATAACCCGTTAAATTTAATCAATAAATTAACCGACAGAATTCGAACCTCTGACGAAATTCGCTGGTGACGTCACGACCAATAAGCGAATTAGAATAAAATTTGATTTCCGTCCGGATAGAAAAATAGATAAGAGTAGGGGTAGATCTTTCCCATCAATTAATGATAGCTATCTTAGTGGGGGGGGGGAGGGTAAATAACGACGAAAGTAGGAGAGTTAAGGAGGGCGCTGTATCCTTCTAATTTATATACGGACCAATGATAAAATATTCGGAGGGCGCTACCGATATCCGAATTAGCATACCAACCAATAATAACATTTCTTCTCGGAAAGAGGAGAAGAAAAGCGATCTTTGACCGCGAAAAGCCGATTCTCGTCCATTTTGCCGTTGTTCTTCGAGCCAATAGAAGTGCTGGTGTCCGATACTTTTGTCTCGCAGAATTAATTGAGCTTACCATTGTTCTCTCAAGCTAATTTCGTTCGGTGAATTTCAACAAGGAAAACCGTAAGTAGGCAAAGTGCCACTCATTAGTATTAATCGCGGAGTGCGGGAGTGGAATTTTCGGTGTAGTAGGTTGTCGCGACGCGTGGATCCATCGATACCGGTGCCTACTAACTCGCGCTGACCTTTCCGCCATTTCGTTGAATCGAACGTAAGTGTTAAGATCGGACGAAGAAAACCAGTGATTAGTTGATTCGCGCCGACCTTTCGCTAGTAGTAATTTATCGCGGATATTGGGAGTATGCGAATTAAAAGTCGAGATTTAGTTATTCGTGCTAACCTTTCGTAAAGATTAACTCTAAATTATTAGCTATTGCGAGTGTTAGGATCAGACTAAAGAAAAACAGTGATTAGTTAATTCGCGCTGACCTTTCGCCAAAAATTAGTTATTGCGGATGTAGGCTTAGTCGAATAAAATCATTGATCCTATTAGTCGCGCTGACCTGTCCATTTCGCAGAATCGAACGTGAGTGTTAGGATCAGACAAAGAAAACCAGTGGTTAAATTATTCACGCTGACCTTTCGCCAAAATAGTAATTTATTGCGAATATTGGGAGTAGACGAATTCAAACCCGTAATTTAACGTATTCGTGCTGACCTTTCGCCAAAATAGTAATTTACTGCAAATATTGGAAGTGGACGAATTG